GCGTTAGCTGTCTGGCTATTTTTACGGTTGGTTTGAAATCCCAGAATGACGTATCGTGGTTTCTCCAATTGAGATGATGTCTTCACAACCCAAACATGCTTCTCAGTTATGGGGAGAAGAGGGTACTCATACAATTCCCATGTACGGAAGCCCATCACAATAGGTGTGTCTTTTGCAATAAAATTCAGCAGCTTCACCTTACGCTCATCAGAAACCTTCACATAAGGAATTAGCCACTCAATCTTTTGAAGGTTAATCTTCCACTTCTCCTCAGGATTCTGTGGGCTGACAGGTCTCTGAAGTATTGCGTTGATGTCAGTTTTCGATCTCGTGATGATGAGCTCATGCTTTGCATTTACAACAATCTTCTGATAATCCTCAGCGAAGCCAAGCAAGAGGCTTAGTGGTATTGAGATATCAAAATACCCAGCGTTATCAGTGATTTTCTCACTGTTATCCATGCTGTCATCCTTAATCCAGCCAGCATTTTCCATTAGGAACCATTGGTTGGGACATTGGGAAACATAGTTTTTCATAATGCTCGTTAAACCCACATTTTTCGCTCGATCAATCTCCATTCCATTGAGCTCATAACGAATTTCCTCAAACAAATGACAGATGGCATTACTCACGAGTCTAGTTCTCCGTGTTAGTGTTGTCCCGTTGTCAGTGGTCAATCGACCATAAATATGCAAGTAACTCTTACTAGGTAATAGACATAAATCTTGATGTTGCACAGTAATTGATATTTCATCATTGTTCCCGTACGATGATGAGGCGAAGGGTTGATGAGTATGCATCTCATAGTGAGAAACAGACTCATCGAACTCAATAGATTTTTGAATTTTCAAGATGTCTTCCATTCTTATTTATAAATTCACACTCGAGGTCTCAACTTCAGACTCTTGAGGAACTGGATGCTTTCACGTGTTAGCGGCTTGCTGGGTCTGTGACGACTGTTCGTCTTTGGGGGGGATGACTCCATTTTATAACTCCTGCCGATCTTCGTTTGGAAAACGATACCCATTAGGTACGTTTGATATGGAGTCTTATTGTTATTATTTCTCCCTGGAAGTTCAACAATTCACCGTCTTGGTCCACCAATTTCAGCTGCAGATGATCTATTCCTTGAACGCNCACGTGTTAGCGGCTTGCTGGGTCTGTGACGACTGTTCGTCTTTGGGGGGGATGACTCCATTTTATAACTCCTGCCGATCTTCGTTTGGAAAACGATACCCATTAGGTACGTTTGATATGGAGTCTTATTGTTATTATTTCTCCCTGGAAGTTCAACAATTCACCGTCTTGGTCCACCAATTTCAGCTGCAGATGATCTATTCCTTGAACGCCGATTGGTAGGTAAATGAGGTTTTTCGGGACTTCAACGATCTTATATCCTGGTGGTACTGTGGGAAAGAATTCATGAATGATGTGAACTTTTCTACCATTGACATAAGCACCTCCAGTGATGTTATACTCTACACACATAGAATTCACCTTAAGAATACTGACTGGTAAGTCAGACATGTGGGTTTTGGTCGGTGATAGAATTCTATTCTCAAATCCTAGTAATCTACCAATCAAATCTGAGGGTTCAAAGTTTATTGCATGATCACTTTTGATTTCACTGCATAAAGTATTGTTATTGGGTTTCAAGTTAATTGCAACACCACGTTTTTGTAGAACTTTCTGCAAATAATTCTGAATATCATCAATTTCATAACTGCCTGGTGGAATGATGATTGTGATATTTGGAATCGAATTGAATGTCAGCAATTCAACGAGAGCCAAACTATAGCGATGATTGGAGGATAATTCGATTGGAGGAAAATAATTTGCTTCCAAAATGAAAGACGTTCCCGACAGTATTAATGTGAAAGATTGCCCCATGCCTGTCAGCTGTAAACTAACTCAATACATCAGTGTAAGCGAAATTTATAACTGTCCGCTGAGAAATTTGAGGCATAGATGACCACATATGATTGTATCATAATCCTGATGCTTTTGATGATTATATTATACAAGGCTACCAACACCGAAATAATTAATCAATTCTTTTGGTGGTTGTAAATTTCCAAAACTATCGAAATAAACAATTTCGTTGTTTCGTTTCTTATATGCCACCCAGTGAGTGCCGGGACCATCTCTATCATCTAAATTCACTATAGCTGATTCATTCTTCCGAGGTCTATTTGTAGGCAATGCATTTCTCATATAATCTCCTCGAAAATGGGGAATTTTCATGAGTTGGGCGAACCTGATGATATCAGCATCACTGAGGGCTCGATGTGGTAGCTTTATGAGTTTTTTGGTTTCAAATGGAGTCCTAACCCTGTTTTATAGGATTTCAAATACAACCCATTACCCATCGCAATTTCTTCCATTGTCTGATTGTGACGTTTGCTCTCCTCAAGATACTGCTTAGCTACTTTCGCATCGTTCACAGCTTTTGCGATACCTGCGGCGCCTCCGGCTAAAGCTCCCGTGGCACTTAATCCAGCAAATAAGGGAATCAAGAATGGTAGCACTCCACCAATTTTCCCGGGAACTGGTAATATTCTTGGTGATTTTACGGAGCGCTTTCCTCCAGCTTTTCGGACAGCATCTCGTGCAGCTTGAAGAGCAGATTTTATCGTATCTCCAGGGCGCATCGATTGTTTCGCTGTTCTGATGAGTGTTTTGAGAGCAACTTGTTTTTTTGCAGCACCACGACCACATGTTTTCTTCTTCGCTTGCACGTGACTTTTTCCACACTTTGTAGTTTTCTTCCCCACTCTTTTCTTCAATCCAAATCCCAAAATAGTCTTAGCTTTCATAGCATTAGCCACTCCCCAAGCAGCAGCTTTCTCACTCCAACTCGCGTCTTTTGATGATACACGTCTCCACGCACTCTCTTCTAATGTCTTATCAGCGTTATGTCTAGCTGCAAGATTCTCACGATTTTTTGAGTATGCGATATCGTGCTCTTTGCACGCTTTATCTAGTGGATTAATTCCAGGATCGTCGCGAGTTAACCTCTCTGACAGTTGTGTTCCCGGTCCACAATATTGATAACCAGAGATATGTAATTCGATAGGTAATTTGTTGATTATCTTATTGAACACCCCTTTACCACTCTTCTTACATCCTCTCACTATCATAGCTCATCTTCGACTGAATGTGAATGGTATATATACCCGCTATTTATACGTTCTGACTGCAGTAGAGTGAGAGAACTTACAGGTGATGGTCATCAACGATGAAGTTTACAGAAAAGGATGTGAAATTACCCATTTTGAATTTTGATCGGGTAGTACAAAATGCGGATGATAAAATTAAAGATAAACGTCATGGAGAATTGTTACCAAATATAGTGCGCGCCATTTTTTGTGGACCCTCCAACTGTGGTAAAACAAACGCATTATTGGCTCTTATCACACACCCAAATGGAATGAGATTCGAAAATGTTTATGTGTATTCAAAATCATTGAATCAACCGAAATATGAGTTCCTAAAAAACGTTCTAGAAGCAACCAACATAATCGGATATTTTCCATTCAACGAGCCTGAAGAGGTGATAAAACCGGAAGATGCGCGTCCTAATTCCATTTTCATTTTTGATGATGTTGCATGCGAAAGACAAGATAATATGCGTGCATTTTTTTGTATGGGAAGACACCGCGACGTTGATTGTTTCTATCTTTGTCAAACATATACGCGTATTCCAAAACATCTTGTACGTGATAATGCAAATTTAATGATTGTATTCAAACAGGATGATAAGAATTTGCGACATATCTATGAAGATCATGTCAACACTGATATGACCTATAACCAATTCAAAGACATATGTTCCTCATGTTGGAATATTGATAGGTACAGCTTCCTCGTGATTGATAAAGATAGAGAACTGAATGATGGTCGCTATAGGAGAGGATTCGATAGTTTTATAAATACATAATGCACGTGCTTTTCCAAGCAGTTGCATCCAGAGCCTCATCATGACAAGTTCTATTTTAAATAAAGAGAAACATGTCTTACAACAAATTGCGGACGCGAGTGAAGCAATCCGCGAAAAGCACAAGCTAATGAAATTGGGGAGGGAAATTACAGAAAGAACTCTGAATGAAGTGTTCAAACCAGTGGTTACACCATTACAAAAAATTGTAGATCGTACTGCTTATGCTGAAATTCCGAGGAAAATAAAGAAATCTCTCGAATCACCAACATCACGAAAACGTGCTGCAGAAACTGCTGACTCTAACATCCCGAGAAAGATCCAACGATTGGAGGAAAAGTATGATTCAAAAATATCAGAAAAATTACCATCAGGCTCAGAGTTGGACATGAATACTACAAAATTATCATTTCCTGCAATAGAAATTGATAATACTCATCATGAAGATGGTTCGGATTCTGTAGAGGATGAACATATTCATAATTTATCTCAAGAATATATACAATTATTTGATACTTCAAATGGGATGGCGGAATTGGACTTGAAGACGGGGACCCGCAAATATAAAGGTAATTGGGTGATTGGGCCCNGTAGGAATTATCCTAGACTTCGAGTGGACATACGAGGACTCAATGAAACTTGGCAGGCAGATCTCTTTGACATGTCAGCATATGCTAAGGAAAATAATGGATATAAATTTCTTCTCACAATTATTGATATTTTCTCCAAATACGCTTGGGCAGTATCAATCAAAACAAAAAGTGGACTAAATGTAACTGAAGCAATGGAATCGGTGCTCAAACAAGGTCGTGTACCTACAAATTTACATGTTGATCAAGGGAAAGAATTTTATAATAAAGAATTCAAGAATCTTCTACAAAAATTCACCATAAAAATGTATTCAACTTACAGCAATTTGAAGGCATCAGTTTGTGAGAGATTCAATCGGACATTGAAGGAGAGAATGTGGAAAAAATTTTCTCTCCAAGGATCATACAAACGGTTGGATATACTTCCTCGAATCATATCATGTTATAACGATACAAGACATCGGACAATCAAAATGAAACCCAAGGATGTGAACAGTGCGAACGAGAAGTTCGTTCAACACCGAATTTATGGAAAAAACCGAAACAATCAAATCAAGAAAGCTAAATTCAAAGTTGATGATCCAGTTAGAATCAGCAAATATAAACATACATTTGAGAAAGGTTATACACCTAATTGGACAACCGAAATTTTCAAAATCAATCAGATACGGAAGACCGATCCAACTACTTATAAATTGATCGATTATCAGAGTAGTCCAATTGAAGGTATTTTCTATGAGGAGGAATTGGCGAAAGTGCAACACCCTGACATCTATCTCGTTGAGAAAGTCCTGAAAAAACGAGGGGATACATTGTTTGTGAAATGGTTAGGCTTCGATGACTCTCATAACAGTTGAATTAATGAATCTGATGTGTGAAGTGTGAACTTTTCTCTTTTTATTTTCTATAATGTACAAATATAGATGAGTAATAAAAAACAAAATCAAAAATGTTATTTCATTATTTATTTTTTCCTTTATTAATTATTGAATCAGATTGTTGTATCCCCANTTTTTATTTTCTATAATGTACAAATATTGATGAGTAATAAAAAACAAAATCAAAAATGTTATTTCATTATTTATTTTTTCCTTTATTAATTATTGAATCAGATTGTTGTATCCCCATGGTATTGTATCTGTGGTGTGAGATAATAGAACACGTTTATTATCTTCCCAACTCAATGCCAACTTCTTCTGGAATATTGTGTGTACCTCATGTTTTTTACTCTGGATCAAATACTGATTCTTGAAAATATGCTCATTATCAAGGAGGCAGCTTTTGTAGTCGTCGAAGGTAATTTTCCTCATTGCAGCATTTTTAACTCCTTTAGCTTTTTTCTTAGCTTTGTCATTATCCAACATCCGAAATGCATATGTCTTCGCTCGGAGACCAATAAATTCAACCATGATTCGACCGTTGCTTTCATCTTTCATAAGGCCCAACGCTTTTTTATTTTCCAACGGTATTTCATACTCGTTATTCTGTTGATAGTCGGATGTATCAAATTTGTGTATATCTTGTCTGATGCACTCATATATATTGGGTAATTGAAACGAATATAACAAACTGTCTGTATCGGTGTACATCAATTTTGCTGCAGCTCCAAATTTAGGTTTAAGATAGCTATAATGAAAATCGTACACAATCGTTTTCGATAAATCAAGAATTGTGAATCCAATGTAGGTCGGTTTCTTGAAATAAACAGCTGTTCGATTCATTTCGATGATGGTCATATCCTCATCAAACGCCGTACAGCTGTGAAAATTTGGTTTTGCTATCAACGCTTTTGCGCCATATCGACCACCCCATTTCGTGACAAGCTTCATGTCTTTCTGCTTTTTGACGTTTTCCATTATTTTCCGAATACCGCATTATTCATCAACTTATAAAAGTTCTTCTCAAATTCATTCTTTGATTGTTGTCTTTTAACTGTATTCAGATCAATATATGATTTTAACCAGGGCTTCTGATTGAATTTCAAAATGCGATGAATAAGTTTTAGTTCCATCCCAAGAGCTGTATATTGTATCAAGTTCCGATAATGTATTACATACTTCTTTTTCGGATAAAGTGTGGATAAAGTGTGGTCGCTAATTTTGCATGTTTACTTCCTGGAGGGATGAAATGCTCAGGACAAAGAGGAAAATCTGTATGTAGTTCGTGTAATTCTTGAGGATATTCCAGATGAACTTCAAGGAACCAACCGGAGAATCATCAGGGACATTCAAAATATCCACAGAACTGCTATCAACACATTCAAACGAATCGTAGGGTAAACTAATGCTCATCGCAGCACCATATAAATTGTTCACATCGTAATACATCAAATATGATGTTTCTAACGATTTATCGTAGAGTTTCTCCCCCATGAAAGGATTATTGGCGTGAGCATATCTATTTGCACATTGTGATACACCACCTCTGATACCTTTCTCGATGAATAGTATCATTTCAGGCTCAGTGAAAAGCTCCAAATTTACCTGGGTGTATTTCAACATTGCATCGAAAGCTAATCCAGGTGCTGTGTAATAATGTAATGGGTCTAATTCATATGTGGAAATGCAGCTACGACGATAATTTTCAAATATGTCAGCNAACATCACTTTCTCAAATCTATACCTGTTCTCTTTTGTACTTTCTATCTGGGTTTTCTGAAGAGAATATGGATTATGAGCCCCGGATAACTAAAATCTTAGATTGTTAAATCTAATATTATAATTGCTCATAACAGGTGTAACGTGACATTTTCGTATGGGGGTTAAAAATGCCTATTACCTTCACCCTTCTTCCCCTTCATCTAGTTGAACTCAAAAATACAAAAATCTATGGGAGCCAGGTAATTTTTCGCCGGAATTACCAAACCGGATGATTCAACAAAACCAACTCTAATTGATTCCAAAATCTCAAAAATTTATACAAAAAGGGAGAAAACTAGATTTCTGGGGAAAGGTAACGGTCCTGGGTTCGCTCAGTGTGCTAGGTTGTGGAGAGAGGGGTGGATTTTAGGTGGAGACGGGTATTGGGTGGCCAAAACTACAAAAAAAGGAAAAGAAATCAACATCGTTCTTACGTGTTTCACTATTGAAANTGGCCAAAACTACAAAAAAAAGGAAAAGAAATCAACATCGTTCTTACGTGTTTCACTATTGAAATATGAGAATCACCGATTTTTTTTTAAAAAAAGGCATTTCAATTCTCTCAAAAAAAATATTTAAAAAAAGAAAAAATCTACAATTAATAACTAACAATACTGATAATAATAATAATCATAATATTAATTCCGCACTCTGATAGGAAATAGTCCAATCTGACAAAAATATTCGAAGAAATTAATATCACCGATAAATACCTCAAATATGCCGAAATAAACATTTGGGGAGAGTAGAAATACACGCTAATCCCTAAATACTCGAGAATTCCGAGAATTGGGGGGAAAGGTATGCGAGCGACAATGGGAGCGAGAGAGAGGAGAATGTATTCATCCATCGATTTTTCGTATCACCCAGAACGGCTGAAATTCCGTAAAACTCAACTTGCCATAACTCGAAAATGGCAGAGTCAAAAATTACGAACCTTGAGACAAAATGTCCGGGAGAGTCTACCGAAGACAACAATACCCAAAAAATCATTTTCCCTCAATAATTAGCCGCCTCAGGTTAATTAACCCGCGGGCGGAATTCTAAAATGCCCGCGTGAAGCGAGAATAGCCACGTATAAACGTGGATGGGTATCTGAGGTGAGTCGAGAGTCGGGGGGGAATTCCCCCTCGAGAAACACGGCATACACGCCAGCGAGAATATGCTGGAAATCCATAAAAACCAAAAATGGAATATCCGGAAATCGGCAGAGCGAATTTTCGGAAACCCTGAGATGAATTACTCAGGGAAGCCCCCCGAACACATTGATCCACAAACCCTAATTTTAATTAACTATCTACGCGAACCAACTCAATTTGAACACGAGTGGAATTTCTTACGCGCAAAAACCCACGTATAACGGGAATGGACGCGCTTTGGCAATTAAACGTGAGTAATTATCCCCTTGAATAACCTGTCGCGGACTCCGCGTGTTCCTTGTGGAGTTTATAACCAAAAATCTCCATCTTCNGAATATGCTGGAAATCCATAAAAACCAAAAATGGAATATCCGGAAATCGGCAGAGCGAATTTTCGGAAACCCTGAGATGAATTACTCAGGGAAGCCCCCCGAACACATTGATCCACAAACCCTAATTTTAATTAACTATCTACGCGAACCAACTCAATTTGAACACGAGTGGAATTTCTTACGCGCAAAAACCCACGTATAACGGGAATGGACGCGCTTTGGCAATTAAACGTGAGTAATTATCCCCTTGAATAACCTGTCGCGGACTCCGCGTGTTCCTTATGGAGTTTATAACCAAAAATCTCCATCTTCAACAAATACCATGGAACGTGCAGGACGACAGAGTTTGTTACCACCCAAGGCGATGCGTGTACCAGGGGTGTCGGCATTGTTGCTGGGCTGACTAGGGGGAACAGTGGATTTCGTGGCTATACAAAGATACAATTGACCAATAAAGATATACAGTGTCTATGGAAACTGCGATCAGGCAATAAGTAAAACCACACCCATGGCTTGCTGTCGACGATCATAAGAACCCCATAAAATGCGTAAATTATGAGGGCTCGGTGACACTAAATGTGGGGACGCCGACTTCGAGACGCCCCTCCGGAACCACTTGAGGGTGACCACGGTCATAAAAATCAGCCTAATGGAAAAACTCATAATCAAGCGTTTCCAAATAGCCAGACCCAGCCTCTGTGGACCGTTGTTATAATGAGTAAGGAAATAATCACCGGAAAATGCAAGACTCACACGTGCCCCGAAATACACCCAACCAGGTATGAATTGAGATACTTCACGAGTGACATGAATGAATCGATAGTCAACTCCCCACTCATTGGTAAAACCATGATTTTCCACTCTATGCATTCAGCATTTTTGACTAGGCCAATTCTAATGAACACCGGATAATTCACCTGGAAGAAGGCATCACAATTCTCCAAGGTTATGCTCTAGCTTATCGCACGCTAAGAGGACATGACGTCATTCTATGAACACGTGCGCTCGTAAAAACGCAATGGATCGGAAATTATGGCGATTTCCACCCCATTATCACTCCTCCTCGATAGGCGTGCGTCATCATTACGAAGGGTCAAACTGAGATTCCGGGAATCATAAAAGAGGACCGATTCCTTGAATCATGCGTAGAACGCGAGCTCTGAGCTCACCCTCGCTTTTTCACCCTCTTGACCACGGATCAGCCCGGTGCAAGCAGAAGTCATAAAATAATATGAATACTCAGATATGGCCATCGTCCGAGGACATCGGGTTGCCATGGACCCACCCCTACAGGATCCCTCATTACAGGTGGAGTCAATCAAGGATATATAAGGGCTGCCTCCGGACATCCAAGTCAGTTGTCAGTTACCAGGGTAGTTACTAGGCCAGTTAGTCGCCCAGTCAGTCGGCCAATTAGTCAGCAGTCAGTCAGTAGACAGTCGCAGTCGCAAAGCCCCAATTACTAAGAACGAGTCACCGAGAGTCAATTGCCGAATCAGTTCTTGGCCTGGCTCAAATCACGGACAGTGATTATTCACAATCTGTATATTTCGACTGCACTATTTTGGACTCAGCCGATTAGTGGACTCATCTCCACTAATCCCTCAACCCACTGTCTTGAGGGCAGTATTCGTCACGGAGCTGTAGATACTCGCCTGGAGTCATTCTTTCANCATCGTTCAAGTGGCCACCTGGAGTCATTCTTTCGTGCAGCCCCAGGTAGTCGAATCTCCGTGTTACCTGTCTT